GGCCGTGAAATTGCACCCCTGTGTCCCCTGCACCCTGGGAGCCTGCGGCTGGGCCTCGGGCTGATTCTCCAGCCCGCGGTGAGCTCCACCAGGTGCGGATCCGCAAGTATGTGCCCCGATGCGGGGCTCAGGAGAAGCCTTGTGGGCTGGAAGGCGGCCACCCCACAGGCCTTGGGGACAGGAACCTGGTCTTTCCAGAGCAGGGATGGGACGCAAGGGGCGCAGGCCAGGGCCAACGTGTCCAGTCTAGGACAAAGCAGGCACAGACTGGCAGGAAGGGTGTGCAGAGGGACCAGGGGCTTGCACTGGACACCTCCGTCCTCCTGTCCTCCCCACACCTCTCCTCTGGCTTTCAGAGTGGCCTCGGGAACCCCATGGGACAGGCCGGTGGCTCGTGGTGGGCAGCAGGGACACCAGCATGGCCACACCTGCCACTCACACAGACCTTGCCCGGCAACACGGCTGCTCTGCTGTGAGTCTCAGGGTGGCCATGGACACGGCACGTGGTGCTGTGGGGGACAGCTGCGTACACTGCAGGTCACCTGCTTTCTCCTTACAGCGGTGGGCCCCCTGCTCCTCCCACACGCACCCCGGGGTTCAGCCTGGCCTGGGATGGGGCCGCCACCCGAGGGCTGCAGCTGTGAGGTCCAGTGGCTGGGGTTGTTTTTAATCCAAACAGCAAACCTTTCAACAGCCGTCAAATTCTGCTTGAAATACCTGGCATTTGTTGCAAGTATTTTTTTTTTTTTTTGCGGTACCGGGGATTGAACTCATGAACTCCCACTTGCCAGGCAGGCGCTTATGCCACTGAGCTAAACCTCCGGCCCAATACCTGGCATTTGTATCCAACTAAGAATCAGCAAGAGGGCTCTGAGAAGCTTCCCCAGGACCACCTCAAGGACACAAGCAGGATGCCCGAGCCTCCGACACGAGCCACACGGGTGACCTGACCGTCCCTGCGTCTGTCTGAAGGGGCGTCTGTGCCCCCCCCCAAGGCCATGCTGACCCGAGACTCCTAGGGAACTGTCGCACCCTCGAGCCGAGGCCCCACAAGCGCAGGCCCAGCACCGCTCCCAGCACAGGCGGTCCCGGCCGCCTGCAGGCTCCCAGTCCTCTCACGGGCAGGCAGAGCGGATGCCAGGACGCTGTGTGGCAGGATCTCCATGTGCTGGTCATGGGCAGTCTGCTCCCCACTGTGTCCTGCAAAGAAGCAGGCACAGCTGTCCACGGAACACGGCCCAGGACATCCAGAGTGTCCCAGCTGGACGTCGTGCACTGCAGGACATCAGAACGGGGACCTGACTCAGCAGTGAGAAGGCCCAGCTGCTGGCACCAAACCCAAACCCCAAGGACGCAGTCTGGAAGCACAGCGTGGGAGCGGGGGCCGTGGGATGCCCCTGACCGGAAGTGGACTGAACTTGTACTGCCCAGTGAGGCCCAGGATGTTGGCATCATCCTGCAGTGGTGGACAGCATCCTGTGCCGTGGCGCCGGCCCCAGGACCGAGGCGCCTGGCCTGGGAACTGGCGCAAGAGAATGGGGCGACCCCCGGCCAGGGCTGGCAGCCGGCCCGGGTGCCCTCGCTGCGTACACGGGACGGCTTGTCTGCAGCAGCTGGAAAGGAGGGGTTTGCGCTGGGTGCCCCCTCGGAGGCCTCGCTGGTCTCCCCCCGCCCCCGCTCAGCACTGGGAACCTGCATCAGAGGTCAACGTCTGGCCGGGCTCATGGCTGGAGCGGTCACCACAGTGGGCCAGGAGGTCAGTGCCAAGGCTGGGAGGGGCTGGCAGTTCGCGGGCTCCCAGCATGGCTCCCCCGGGCCAGTTTAGGGCAAAAGTGGGGTAGAGGAAGCAGCAGCCAGACCTGCAGGGGGGATTTCTGCCGCCAGCGCTGCTCATGGAGAGGAACTGGGTACTGACCCAGAAAGACAGAGCTACCCCACAGCTTTGTTTTTTGGGGGGAGAGGGACCTTTGTGAGACACACTGGTCTTGAAGTCACTGTGAAGCCAGGCTGGCCTGATCTCTGACAGCCCTCCTGTCTCAGCCTTCGGCACAGGCCACCACGCCTGGCTCTGCCCCTCTGTCCTAAAGCCCCTTCTTAAGGTGGGTCCTGGTTCTGCCTCCTGTTTCCCACTGTGGGCACAGGACGACCGAGACCAGGACACTGCAGCAGACGGGGTCACAGCGGCGGGGAAAGGGCGTCTCCAGGAGCGCTCGTCTCCACAGGCAGCACGGAGCTGACCCAGGTGTAAATCCTGGACGTGGGCTGGCAGCAGGGAGCGCACTGCAGGGGCCGGCGGTGACCCGGAACCACGGCTGCAGGGCCATGTGGACACACGGCCGCCGCCTGGCTGCCCTGGTCGCCCTCCCCGGCCCGGCCCTGCCGTTGGCCCAGCCTAGTGGGCCCATTGTGTCCGAGACAGCAGCGGTCCCTCCCCGATGTGACTGACGCGGCCTTCTGCTGCACGGCTTCCGTGCAGTGACTTCAGGTCCCCAAGCAGCCTGCATGGTGGCTGAGTGACAGCGGTGGCTGAGGACACAGAGCATCCCGACAGAAGGCAGGCAGGGGGCTGGCCGCCAGGGACAGGGCTGCCGCACACAGAACCCCACGGCGCCAGGGCGACCAACGCTGTCTGGGCAGATGGCAGGGCTCACACAAGGGAAGGGCACACAGGGCGCAGACCATGGCGAGGAAATGGGCCAGGCCCTAGGGAGGGACTGGCCCGGCCGGCTGCCGTGTGTGACCTGCCCCAGTGCAGCGCCAGCAGGGACGCGTGACCCTCTCTCCCATGTCCTATGCCCACTGCGGGTCCCTTCCTATAGGACGGTGTCACATCTGCCTCGGTGTCCAGATGCTGTGGTCCCAGCTGGCCCAGTGCGCACGGCCTGCAGGTCTCCAGCACCAGTGCAGGCCGAGGCCAGCTGCCCGGGCCCCACAGAAAGGGGCACAGCTGCGGCTGGGACAGCCAAGCCCCAGAGGCCCTGAGGGCAGGGTGAGCTCGCTGGCTGGCACTGCGGCACCATGGGTTGGGCCATCGGACTCCCCGCTCCTGTGTTCTGCCAGGCTCGGAGAGTGGCCAGGCCCGGTCCCAGGGTATGAGCAACTCACGTCTCTGGCTGTGTGGTAGAGACAGTGACTGCCCGTGAGTCTGTGACGGAACCGTGCCTGGGAGCAGGGAGGGCAGGCACACGAGGCTGGGCAGGGAGCACAGCTCGGGCTGGCACAGAGGCCTGGCTCCCAGTGAGCCGTCCGTCGGCCCGTGGGGCTGAGTCCCGGGGACACAGCCTGGGGAGCCCCTTCCCCAGCCCATGCCGCTGGGCACTCTGGCACTTGCCACAAAGCAGGAGTGTGCGACCCGGGGTGGGGGAGGCACTGGAACAGCCCTCCCAGGCCGAGCAGAGGCATGGGCTTCTTGGGCTGTGGCACCTTCCAGGCAGAGCCCGCAGGCACGAGGACGGTGGTGCAGCAGAGGCTGAGCTGAGGTTGCCCAGGTGCGGGTCAGGGGCAGTGCTCAGGGGCCCTGCGGAGGAGCCGTCCCAGGCTCTCCCGAGCCTGGTGGGAGACCACGTTCCCTGGGGGGCGTCACACATCCCAGGAATGGGACAGGGGCCGGGCGCGGACCAGCCTGGCTACACAGTGAGCTCGAGGGCAGCTGAACTGCGCAGTGAGACCCCGTCTCTAAAAGGAAAAAAGGCAAGAAAAAAAGACAGCAAGCACTTGAGCGTCTGTGGGAGCGGCCGTGATGCTAACGTTACGTGAAAACGTCTTCACGTGGCTCTGGAAGCCCCAGTCCCAACTGTGGTCCGGCTCAACTGTGCAGCGGCCAGGACCGGCCGATCTCCCTTCCTGCGCGCTGCCGGCCTGCAGGTGGGCGCGGTGTCGGCAGGCCACATGGAGCCAGCAACCGGATGACGCCACGGCCCACGATGACAGCCTCTGTCCAGGTGGGAGGCCACGGGAGGAAAGGGGGAGGGGCTGGGGGGCCAGCGCGTGTGCCCAGGCCGGCCCGCTGCCCCACTCAACCAGAGCAATTCCCAGGCAGCGCGGGGCAAGTGGCCATCTGGTTGCTGAGTGCTTGTGGGGAGAAAGCAACCTCCCACATTCAGCTGGGAGCACACGGCCCAGCCGGGAGGGAACACAGGAGTGGACAAAGCAGGACCCACCCTCCCCGCAGTGACCACACACTTCCGAGAGCCGGCAGCCATCTGGCACGACCCCGACCTCGACCCCTAATTGACTGCTGACTCGGGCAAACTTGTCTCAAACCAGGAAAGGCCGTGACGCCCATGGCTGATCCGGGATCCAGAAGCAGCTCCGGCCGCCTGCTAGGCAGCGAGCCCAGATGGCACCAGCCAGCTGTGGCAGTGACAGGCGACAGGTCCCAGAGGAAGCCACATTACAAAATGACCCCAGCGGGGCTGGGGATTTAGCTCAGCGGCATAAGCGCCTGCCTTGCAAGTAGGCAGTTGTGAGTTCGATCCCCGGTACCAATAAAAAGAAAAAGACAAAAAAACCCACAAAAAACAAAATGACCCCAGCCATGGCATGTGCCCAAACCTGTCAACCAGGCTACCATGGCTCAGCCAAGTGTGGGCTGTCCCTGAGCCACGCGGATGGCCACACTGGGGCTTCAGAACAGCACCACGCGATTACTGTCCTCCGTCCAGGGCCCCCACCAGGGCGGGAAGCAAAATGCACCACCAACACCATGCAGCAGGCTGAGTCCCCTGTCATGCTGGGGACACCTGAGATGGGGCAGTGGGCCAGGCCTCGGGGGCAGCCCCGCAGCAGAGCGGTTCCCGGCCCACTGCTGGCTCCAGGGCGGGCTCTGCGGGGGTCCCCAGGGCAGAGTGGGGAGCAGGGGGCGGCGCCAGGGCGGGCTGCCTGGCCCAGGCGTGCTCTCCTTGCAGCCCAGGAGGCACGGCAGGAGGCCCCGGGGTCCCGGGCGGTGCAGGGGGAGGGGCCGGGCCCTGGGTCCGTGCGGGGCCAGAAACACGCGCGGCTCTGAACCAACGTTGTCATTTTATTGAGGGGCGACAGCGTTACAGTCCCGGGTGTCCCTGTGCACGGGCAGATCTCCCAGGCCGCAGGTGCCAAGCAGCCCCTGCGGCCGGCACTGGCCGCCCTGCAGACTGGACCGCGCGGGTCTCCGCAGCCATCACAGTGGGCTCCTCCGTCAGGGGCCAGCAGTGTGGCCCGTCATCTCCCCGGCTTCTGAAGTAACTATTTCTTCTCGGGTAACTGGCTCATTTGTAATCATTTATCAAAACTAAAGGGAGGGGAGGAAAGCAGGGTGGATTAAAAAATTTACTCTGTAAGGAAAGATAAAATTCATCTTCACACATGTACAGGGCTGCTGGTGCAGGTCTGCCCCGCTGCGCAGCCAGACCGGGAGCCCGGGCAGGCGCCCCTCTTCGCTCGGGAGTCGGCGTCTCTCAGGATGGCGGTTTTGTGTTTTCCTCAAATCAAGCGACGGCCTGGCCTGCCGCCCGGGTCCCAGTTGGAGTCACGGCCGGCGTCACGGCAGGCCTGCGGGCTCACAGCAGGTCCACACGGCGGTAGTACAGCAGGTAGGCGCTGCGCTCGGCCGCTGGCCGCAGAACCTGGTGCTGCGGCACCACCCGCACGCTCTGATCGTCCATGCGCAGCCAGCCGTTGAGCCCGATCTGGAAGACGTCCGTGGTGTAGTGGCCGCCCGTGGCGCTGCTGCCGTGGTGGTAGACCACTGCAAGAGAGCGCAGGGCCGTGAGTGCAAGGGCAGGCGGCTGCGGGTCTGGGGTGGGTCTGCAGAGCAGCTCGCGAGACACGGAACGGATCGGCGGGAGTCCACGCGTCCATGCACGGGTACTCGTCCCGTGCACACATTGTATACTTATGCAAAATACTTCATTTTACACACAGTACGTAAGGGTCAGTCACCTTACCAACACGGAGGGTACGCGCCCTTGGCCCGTGGAAACCCATGTGCGTGCGCGCGCACGCGCGCACACACACACACACACACACACACAGACGCACACACGCACACACGCACACCCCTGGACCCAAGCCGGCCTGCTGCATGCCTGCACCACCCTAAGGGCTCTGAACAAAGGTCAGGTGTCAGTCGCAGTGACCATGGAAAAGCTAAGATCCTGGCCACCCCCACCTGGGGGAGAGACCGACTGCAGATGCACGGCACCACCTGCCCCGCCTGGCCGGAAAGCCCAGGAGCTGAGGAGGGCGCCAGCCCGCCCACCGGCACCTCCGGGTGCGCACAGGGCCGGAGGCACTGCGGGAACAGCAACCCCGTCGGGGAGACAGAAAGGCACCTCCCGATGAGGCCCGGGCTGCACCCGCTGGCCGTGGCCGAGCAGACCTCCCGGGCCCAGCAGCAGCCGGGCAGACAGGAGCCAAGAGCCCCGCCGGCCACTGCAGGCCACAGAAGCGTGGCCCCCGAGTCTGGTCAGCCTCTGCCGGAAGGGGCACAGGGGGTGGCAGCAGGAGTGGGGTGCAGCCCCGCAGGATGGAGGGGTCAGGACAGCAGGCAGCAGCAGAGAGCGGGCACACCTGCTGCCCAGAGCCACCACAGCAACGCAGGGAGCGGGGGCTCCCGGGACGGGCCTCCCCCGCCACCGCAGCTGAGCTCAGGGAGGGCGGAGCAGGGGAGCTGGGGAGCCGGGAGCCGGGGAGCTGGGCCGCCTGCCCTCTGCAGCCCCGGGCCAGGCACAGGGCCACCCTCCGGGATGCAGCCCCTGACCCCGCTGGCGCCCAGGGGCCTTCACTCCGGCCGGTGGCCCCACACTGCCCACGGCACTGCGCCGAGGAACTCACCTGCGAAGAGCCTGTAGGTTCGGTGGCATTTAAAATTTTTATTTTTAACACCTGGAGAAAGCAGTTCTGAAAAACAAAACATCAGCAAGTTCTCTTAGACAAGGACTTCGAGGCCACCATACGCCCTGGGGGCCCGGGGACCTTCGTGTGCAGAAAGGTGACACACAGTCCCACAGCACAAGGCGCTCATGCTGGAAGCCCCTGAAAAATGGTGAAGAACGCCGCACACCCCAGAGCGTCCCGGAACCAGGAGGACACCTTCTTGCGGCCACGCCCCTCCACTGACTCTCTGCTGGCTTCTGGGAAGCAGCCCCGGCCAGAAGCGCACCCCAAGATGCCTGGGTGCCTCGCCCCCACGTGGCGTCTGCCTGCGGTGGCAGCTGACAGACACAAGGAATGGAGGAAGAGGACAGCCAGGCTAAGACCGCGTGGGCACCGCTGCGTCTGGGGTTTCTGGACAGACAGAGCCCACAGGGGCACACGTCCCATGCTGCGAGCACTGGCTGTGCCCAGAGACACGGGACAGGGGACCTCTAGAGGACAGGGGACCGGCTGTGGCTGCCAGCCAGGAATCCTGGGGAGCAGGGGCAGCTGCGTGGGAACCCGGGGCGCTGCTGGCGGGAAGGAGGAATGGGGTGCCCCTATGGCCTCCTCTGTCCTCACGCCCGTGACACGCCCCGCTGTCAAGCCTGCCTCTGTACATTTCCCCCAATTCTGAAGCCTTCAGGAAAGTTCTCTCTAACCTGTGAGCTAATTTTAACTTATTTTGACTCTGCTCTCCATGGTGGCGGGAGGCCGAGGGCCAAGCGGGCTTTAGAGACCGTGTGTGCTGTGCCTGCTACCCACGGCCAAGCCTGACACGCGTGTCCTGGGACCGCAGGGACTCCCCGCCGTGCACACCCGGGCCAGCAGCACACCCTAACCCCGCAGCACGGCAGGGCCCGTCTGCCAGGGCTCACCCCGGCTGATCTCCAGGTCCACGGGGTACTCGATGTTCTTGGCCAGCTTCTGGCAGCCGCCGGTCTTCTCATACACGAAGCGCTTGAGGTGCAGCACAAGGACGGGAGGCAGCTTCTCCAGGGTCACCCGCCGGCTAATCTCGACCTGGGACACAGGGCACGGGACACGCCGTCTTGCCTGACCGGACGGGCGGGACGTCCCCCGTCCCCCACACAGCCCCAGGGCCTCGGCACCCAGCCAGCGCGAGGGCCAGAGGCCCACTCTGCAGCGCCTGAGTCGGGTGCCTGTGGCCCGTGCCCCACACTCTCCTGGACTGGGTGACCTGAGGCCGGGCTCTTGGCTCCCAAGTCCCTGCTTACGGTCTCCCAGCTCCAGCAGGCGCTGCTAACAAAGCCAGGCTTCTTTTTGGGGATGCTGGTTTTGGGGTTTTTTGGTACCGGGGACTGAACTTACAACCCTGTGTCTGCCAGGCAGGTGCTTATGCCGCTGAGCTAAATTCCCGGTCCTGCACCAGGCTTCCCAAAGTAAAACACATCTGCAATTCTCTGCATGACACTCGTGGGCTCAGGCCAGGCCAGGCATGGTGGTGTCCACACCCGTAATCCTAGCACAGAGGCTGAGGAAGCTGAGGCAGGAGGACTGCCACGCATTCAAGGCCAGCCTAGATCACACACCAACTCGCTGATGTCAGAGAATTCTTTCCACAGAAAGTTTTAAAACCAACGATGCAGAAGACTGCGACACACAGCGGACAGCAAACCCTTTGGGGACCAGGCACCATCAGGCTGGAGGAGGGGAGTGGGGTTCAGCTGGTGAGGCTGGCAGGTCGAGCTGGTGTCTCCTGAGCTCTGTGCCCGCCCAGGCCTACTTTCCTGCGGAGACCTCAGGGGTAGAAACTGCCGCAAGCCTCCCCGTGCCCATCAAGAACCCTGCATCCACCAAAAACCTGCAAGTGGATGGAGGTGACGCCAGAGAGCAGGACCCTGGTTGCCTGCTGGTCCCTGAGTGAGGGTCACGGACTCAGACCTGAGAGCTTGGCTGGCCACGGCAGACGTGAACCTCCAACCCTAACCCTAACCCTAACCCAGCCCGAGAGCTCCTCGGGCACCCTGGCAGTGGCTTCCCGCACACACCGCAGAGAGGCGCTGCCCCTCCAGCGCAGCGATGCTAGCTCGGTACTTTGAAAGGAGAGTTTCAGTTACAGCCAAGAAAATACTCGAGGGGCTGGGGATTTAGCTCAGCAGCATAAGCACCTGCCTTGCAAGCAGGTGAGTTCCTGCCTGCCTTGCAAGCAATCGTGAGTTCGATTCCTGGTACCAATAAAAAAGAAACAGAAAGAAAAAAAGAAGTGTAAAAAAAAGAAAATACGCCAGTGCCCTGTCCACCAGGCCTGCCTTCCTGGACGCCTGCTCCCAGGCGCTCCTGTCCTGGTCTCAGAGCCCCAGACAGGGCCCAGAGTCGGACAGGCAGCAGCGTCCCGTCCCCTCCTCCGGGAAGCTGCCCCAGTCCCTCTGGGTGGGGTGACACACAGAGGTCTGACCACAGGTGACAGCCACCTCCACCCCTGCCCTGTGGCAGCCCCGCTGGCTCGGCTCAGTGTTTAGTGGTGGCAGAATACGCATGTCCCAGAGGGTCCTCCTGGTTGCCCAGGGCCGAGGCTGGGGACCTGCCATCAGGACAAGGGGCCCAGCCAGCTGCGAGGGCCCACAGAGCAGGGAGGAGGGCACGACAGCGCCAGGGCAATGCCATCCCTGAGAGTGGCTGCTGCCACAGACAAGCCAAGCTGACGGTCACCCAGAGCCAGACACAAACCTAATTGCCGCCAACTCAAGGACCGCTATGTCCCCCTGCTGGTCCCCACTCCAGTCACAGTGGCCAGCGTCCTGGCACCTGTGCCATCAGGAGTGGTCGGCACTGCAGGGCCGGGCCTGACTCTTGCAGGCCTAGGGACAGCATCAGCCAGGGCGGAACGTGGGGACCAGCTGCAGGCAGGCCCTGGACACAGGCCGTGCGGCCAGCCGAGCTGGGGCCATCACAACGTGTGTACAGCTCCGCAGTAGAATGCTCGTCTCCAGGGATGGCCAGGGCAGAGGACGCCACGCTGTCCCCAGCTCTACCCCACCACCCCAAACCCAGGAATGACAGACCCCAAGACAGTGTCTTTTCAGTACCAAATGGAGAACAAAGCCACCTGAAGCACGCCCGCCGGCCCACCCGCAGTGACCCCGGGACCCGGTGCGCTGAGCCCCTGACCGCTCTCATCACCGCCACACCATGACTCAAACCAGGTGCTCGGCGCCCAGGCGGTGCTGCCGTGGTGGAACCTGGACGAGGCTGCCAGGAAGCCAGACGCCACCCAGGGTCACTGGGAGCCCGCGCCCCGTGACAGACGGCAAGTGCCAGCTGGGGCATCGGCAGCAGTGCCAGCGTCTGAACCAACGCGCAACGGCCGCGAGAGGCGAACTGCCCGGTCTCCGCCCCGGCCCCCGCCCCCGCCCCTGCCGCACCTCCTGCTTGGTCTTCGTGGTGTAGCCCTGCACGGACTCCCGGGCCACCAGGCTCTCGAGTGCGTCCTGCACCGTGCGGATCTTGTCGGACTGGATGTCCAGCTGCAGCGTGAAGAAGGGCTGCAGCGTGGCGGACTCCTTGGAACTCTGCTGGTAAACCACCGACCTGGGGATGGACAGGACAGCAGGGTAAGCCCACGCCTGGCTGCCTCCGCCTACGAGGACAACATACTGGAAAGGGGCCGCTCTGCATCACTGTGGGAGGACCGAGACGATGGGAAAGCCTCCCCAGCCTGTGCTGCACCCCGTCTCTGTGCTGCGCCGCGCCTCCCCCTGCCGGCCCTCGAGGCCGGTTTATACAGTGACCATCTTGCCACAGCCACAACCTGCTGACACCTTTCATTTTCTCAAGGCCCCGTGGCCTGTTCTGAAGAACAGAGGAAATCCCGCAGTCAGCAGCGCACTTTCCCGATGACAACGGCACACGGGCCAGGGTGTGGCCAGTGACACACAAGCAGCTTCCAGGAGGACAAGCGGGTGCCCCTCCGAGCAGGCGCCAGCCGGCCCCGGCTCCTCGGCTGCCTCTCACCTCACCCTCTGTCTAAGTTTCCTGGGTGAGAAGCGTGGCGCCTCGGCCGCCTCACAGCGAGCACCGCAGGGGCTGCGGGGACCGGGCTATGCACAGCTCCAGGTTCGGGGTGCTGCAGCCATCTGGGGCGTACAGGGCGGTGGGGACAGCAGCGGGGGCGGGGAAGCAGCCGGCAGCAGCCCTCAGCCCGGCGCCCAGCGGTTCATCCCTGCAGAGCACCGGCCGTGGGGACACTGGCCTTCACAGGGCAGCTCCGGTGGGCTGCAGGGGTCCACGCCCAGGGCCAGCGCACGCCGGAGCCCACCCAGCCTCCACTGAGTGCACTGCCCAGGTGGGGCCTGAACCTGCTGCCCTCCCTCCTGGGCTCCCGGGTGCTACTTGCCGGGGGGGGGGGACCCCCACCTGGCCGCTCGCCCACAGAGAAACAGCGGATGTCACCAGCGAGCCCGAGGAGGCTGAGCCATGGCCACCCGGGCTGTCCAAGGCCGCCACTCGTCCAGCGGGGACGAGTTCTGTACTGGCTGAGTCGGCGCGGGGGCAGTGCTCACTGCCCACACTGCGGATCACAGGGCCACGTCTGCCGAGACCCGAGCACATGGCTGCAGGGAGGCACAGGCCCGGGCCCGGGCACGGGCCGGCTGCCAGCGCGGCCACCGGGCTGCCCCGGCTCCCACTCCGAGCAGCACGCACCGGGCTAGGGGCTGCGGCAGCTCTGCGCGGACACTGGCTCCCCGCGACAGTGTCCCCCTCCGCTCCCTGGCCTTCCGGCTCCCGCGGCCCTTACATCTGAACCCCTCCAGTCCACACACAGCCATCGCCACAGAAGGGGACACAGGGCTGTGGCCAAGTGCTGCTGGGGAGCGTCCTCTCCCCACAGGAGGAGGTCTGCCACTGTCACAAGGTGGCGCAGCTGGGGACACAAGCACATGAGGGACACAAGCACACACAGAACCACAGGACGCCGGACGCTCACACTGCAGGCCGTCTTCACAAGGCCGCGCACACAGAGAATGCCAGTGAGCACAGGGAGGGCCCGAGCGGCTCGGCAGGTCAGGTGGGCCAGTGGGGCCAGGCCAGGGCACCAGCTCTCGAGCGCTGCTGGGCGAGCGGCCTGGGTAACTCTTGCCGTGAGAACACCCAGGGCACGCGGCTGCTTCTGTGGAAACCAGCTGCACGCCCCTCGTCCCCCACATCCTGCTGCGGACTCTGAAGTCCTGGGAACGCATGCTTTCCCCTTCACACTGGGCAGGGGACCCTGGGCACCGTGCCCCGGCCAGTGCCCGGGGCGGCAGGGAGGCCCAGCCAGCAGCAGGCTGCGCTGCCCAGGCCCAGGCCGTCGGCCCCTGCCCGCAGGAGGCTTCCCGGCGCCTACAGACCTGATGTGCCCGCCGAAGATGCCCGTGATGGGCGTCTGGACGAAGTCAGCCTGGCGCGTGACCGACGTCTTGTTGCGGGGCCCCACCTGCTCCCACTCCTCCTCGCTGCCCTCGCTGCCCGCCTCCTGCTCCTCGCCGTCGGCCGAGGGGCTTCGGGGCCCGTTGGACACCAGGAGCTCTGCAAGGACAGGGCCGCTCAGGGGCTGCAGGGGAGCCGCGGAGGCCACCAGCTGCGCGGAAGGGCAGCAGGAGACGGCCCAGCCCCGAGGGGCCGAACGCTGGCCAGCAGGCCTGCCAGGGAAAAAGGCGTGTGCCACGTGCCCGAGCAGAGGGGAGGGGAGGCCCCCACTCGGACCCCGCAGTCACACGGACGCCCGCAGGCTGCTCTTCCTGCCTTCTGCAGCCGTGATCGCCTCTGGGTAAGACTAAAGGCACATCAGCAAAGGCTCTGGACAGCTTCCACTTGTCTTCACAGAACACCATGGAGTGCACAGGAAGGGCGATGGAAAGTAATTGCGGCCTCAGGCCGTGGAGGGGACCCAGAGGGCAGCTGGGCCGCAGGGAGAGGCCGCTTCACGCCAGCAGCACTGGGCGGGGGCAGCGCGCAGGGCGCGGACCTACTTGTGCTGCCGGGCGAGAGGAGCTTCTTCAGGCTCAGCATCTCCTCGTGCAGCCCGTTCAGGACAAAGCCCAGGTACTCCTCGGCGTCCTCCTGGCGGCCCTGGCGGGTGATACAAGGGCGCCGGGTGAGCCCAGGCAGCCTCGGCCTGCTGCCCGCTCAGGGCTGAGCTGTCCAGCTGCACCGCTGCTGGGGCGGGGCCGCTCTGACCGCTGCGTCCTTGGGCAGGGCAGGTGAAGCACGCAGCTCTAGCGCTTCTGGGCGTTAGCTTCTTACACTTTCTTCCCGTGTTTAAGTATCCATCTGCCTCCACATCACTTTCGAATACCAGCAAGGTCAGGTAACAATCGCTTTTCTGTCCCACTGATGGCAGACCGAGAGCCCTAGCTGCACACACCCAGGACAGCCTCCAGCGGGCAGCCCCACGTGTCCGAAGGGAGAGGCTCGGACCCGTGGAGAAGCTGTGTGTCACACGCAGGCACCCCATGGCCAGCCACACCCGTCACACACATGCTCTCTGACTACTGACGTGTCATGACGCTGACTCATAGGGACCGGCTCGAGCTGCATCCCCGGGTCCTGACCCTTCACTCCCGACCTTGGGCAGAGTGGGCCTGGCCGGGGCCACGGCCTGCTTATCGAGTTGGCCAGGTGCGTGCCTGGGGACTTGGGTTTTAAGATTCCTGCCACTCTAAGGACTGACGGAGGCTGTGCCTGAGCTCTGGATAAGCATGTGGATAAGCTCTGGATAAGCAGACCCGTCTGCTCCCAGGCAGGACTCTGGGGGTCCCTGAGAGCCACAGCACGTGCCTGCTGCCACAGGGTGAGGCTGGCAGATGTGCACTGCGGCGGGCGCCTCCAGGGAAAGAGGCGCGAGCCCCAGACCTCATCCTCATGGTGGCTCCCCGCTCCACCCCGACTGGCTCTGGACCCCGATGCTATAATAAATCACAGCCACAAGCCAGCCAGCTGGGGCCTGAGCCCTGAGCCCTGCCAGTCAATTCCCACACTTCAGAGTGGTCTTGGGATCTCGACAAGTTGAAATCACTTCAAACACTGCCCCTCAGCATGGCTTTGCAGCACAGCCTGTGTCAGCCTCAGGAGCCCTCCGCCCAGCCTCAGCCTGAGGTGGCAGCCTTGGCTCCGCCTGGGCGTGCTCGTCTGCTGTCTGTGCCCGTAGCACTGGGAGCTAAGTGCCTGGTGGGCAGCGGGCAGCTTCCCCCCACGGCTGAGTGCCCAGCAGATGCTGCACAGCCTTCTACCCAGGTAACAGACCCCAGTCCACACCAAAAGCTGTCCACTTCGGATGCCCCCACTCTTCTGGCCCTTGGATGGTGACCCTGCGTGGCACTTCAGTGCTGGTGCCAACCACTCCTGCAGCTGCTCAGGGCAATTGGCCCCACTAAGGGGTGGCAGGGCCATCCAGAAAGACCCTCGCTGCTGCCACCACGCCTCTGGCAGCAAAGGCTCTGGCAGAAACCTAAGGGAAGAGCTGGGCCCCCGACAGTGCTGCCGTAAGAGCACCAGGCCAGGACCCCTGTTCTGCCCGAAGCTGGGCGGGGCCGGGGCTCGGCCCCCAGGAGCTGCGTGACCCGGATGCTGACCTTGCTCTGGGGACCCCACCACAGCCCCAGGGCTCACACTGCGCTCAGGGCAGTGCAGGGGACACAGTGAGGGCATGGGAGTGAGGTCAGGCACGGGGACTGCCGCGCTCTCAATGCACCGAGGGAGGGGAGGCTCTGCGTCAGCCTAGGCCAGTGCCGGCCGGAGCCAGTGTGGATGCTACGCGGCACTGCCACCCAAGGAGGCCGCAAAGGCAGCGCTTCCCTTGGCACCGTTGGGGCGGGCCCAGACCTTTTCAGACAGGCTCGACTTGCTGACGGTCAGGAGGCGGTAGATGTACGTGGGCTCAAAGGCCGCTCCAGGCCGGATGTCCCTCACAATTTTGTCTCCAAGAGCTGCAGCGGAAACAGGACACAGAGTTTCCTGAGAGGACATGGTAAGCGACAGCAGAATCGCCCTCATCTCCGCCCCCACCCCCCGAGCTCAGTGGCATCGAGTGACCCTGGCACTCCCCCAGGAGCCCCCGTGTGCACTCACCTTGGCGGGGCTTCGGTGGCACAGGCATGTTGGTAAACTCGTTCATCAGCCGGACACTACATGTAGGCAGCAAGGGGAAGTGGACATTGCAGAGAAGACACACTTTTCCGCACAAGCCCCTCTGGCCAGGCAGACAGGAGGCGACCAGCACAGCCACCACTCAGGAACTCCTATCCTGTCCACGTGCACTCTCTGTGCATTTAAGCCAGAGGACAGGATGGTGCTTCCCACCAAGTCTAGAGAACACAGCCTGTTCCGACTCCATTTCTGTTCTGCAGGCCCCAGCTTCCAATTCTACCTCCCAGAGGGGTCACCCGCCCTGCACGCCCACCGCGCTTACTTACAAGCTGTCTATCATGGGCGTCGACGTGCAGGGCCTCTGCACCTTGGAGTACAGGGGGATGAACTTCATGAGGTGGTACATCGGAGGGCAAGCCACCAGGGCCTGCAGCGTCTGAATGTCGGCGAGAAGGAGTGTGAAGGAATGCAACGGGCAGCGCTGGGCGGACGGCGCTCAGGCCTGCGATCCGCACCCAGAGGCCGAGGCAAGAGGGCCGCAACCCGAGGCCAGCCAGGGCCACACAACGCGGGTACTGCTCACTGCAGGACAGCTGCCCGCAGAGGACCAGCTGGTGGTCAGGACACACGCAAGAGCTCGAGGCACCAAAACCGCTGACACCCGGTCCCGAGTGGCCACCCCACCCCCTACCGGGACTGTGCTAATGAGACTGAAATGTGCCCGAATCTGTCATTGGGCGAAGCGGGGTCGGGAATGGCCCTGTGTGTCAGGGAATGAGGAGACCAAGGAACAGACCGGCTCCTGGATTCAGGGTACAGGCTCTGGCCTCGGGGAAGCCGCGCCCAGCGGGGCGACCCAGACGGCCACCCTCGCAAGCTGGGCTGGGGACAGTGTCAAGGATACAGCGTTAATGTAGCACCAGTTTCCCTTATTGATCAGCCCGCGGGGTTGCAGCGACACTGGCTTATGCACTAGGGTTACGTTCTCCAGGAACTCTGGAAGAGGGAAGCAGCACGTTGCAGCGTTAGTGACGCCCCAGAGTTCCCGTGAGGGCCTCAGGACCGCCTTCCCCAGCAGCACGGTTCAAAGGAGATCCACGCTGCCCGAGTCTCACTCAATCCCATGCCAAACACATTCACGCTGAAAGGGCTTTGTGGTTTCAGCATTTCCCCAAAAACACTGACATTTATTTATGTGAGCAGGAAACACAAGAAGAGCGATCTTAACGCGGCCGACTGCAGCTCAAGGTGAAACAGTCAGGCAGAAACAGCAGCTTCTCCCCAGAGCTGGCCCGCCCTGGTGACACGGCGCACAAGGGACTTCTGTGCAGACCCTGCCTCCGCCTCCGAGCCCGGCCGCTGACGCCTGCCCACATCAAGGGCCTCCACGGCTGCTCGGGAGCACGGTCCCTCGGGGACGGCGCCCGCCCATGACGTGTTTTTCCATGAGCCGTCAGTCCGGCCCGGTGCCTGCCTCACACACTGTAATTTCTTCAAGGAACGCAAGTTTTTTACCCTCAGTTCGCCCTCGGACATGGGCTCTCGGTCTTCAGAGGCTCTGAACACCGTCTTTGTACAAGTAACTGTCAGAAACTCTCCGCTTGCCTGTGACCTGCAGGGTGGAAGTGGCATGGCCGGGCCAGGTCTGCGGCCACACTGCTGCCCGCCGCTGGGCGTCAGAGAAGGGCTAGCCGGGCTCCCTCCAGCGCCACAGGCAGGCCAGGCAAGCCTCCTAACAGGTCTCAGGCCCACGGCAGCCCGAGCATCACCGCAAGCGCTCACTGCTTCCTCGCTTTCTTTGTCTGAAGCAGGGCCCCAGTGTGAGGCCAGCTGACTGGCCTTGAACTCACGGCAGTCCTCCTGCCTCTGCCTCCCCAGTGTTGGGATGACAGGGCTGAGCCACCACGCCCAGCTTCCTCACACGGAATAATAACCTTCAGAGCTCTCCGGGAACAGAAAGTAAACGCTCGCGGCTCAGGCAAGCCCAGTGGAATGTGTCCAGGCAGATGAAGCTTGTCCAGCACGCCTCATCCCTCGCTTACTGAAGGGCACAGACCCGGGTGAGCTCACGGCAGAACCGAGCCCCAACCACACAGCTGACGCCGGCAAGGCAGGGCGGCACGGAGGGGCTTTCTCCACATCATCACAGCTGCCACCTGCAGCTCTGCCCAAGAGGCACCAGGATCGCTTAGAAATCCCTCTCACGCTAAGGGGTAGAACCCCAACCTTAGCTACCTGCTGTGTCACAGGCCTCGGAGCCACCAGGGCAGCCGTCACTGCTGCACAGGAAGGCTCCACAGCGCCGGCATCGACCTCTGTTTCCCAGCACAGCACACACCAACCCTGCAGCCCAGTCACGGCCCTCAGCAGCCACCAACTTGCCACAGTGCTTTCCCGTCTAAGTACATTTTTGTGCAATCAAGGAGACCTAAATCTAGCTGCCATCCTCAGGGGTGCTCTGCTGAAGGACACCGCTGCCTTCTGCTGTCAGCCACAGGTCACCTGCTGAGCCGCCAGGGCAGACGGCCACCAACCACTGCCAAGGGGTCCTGGCATCCGGGCTGCAAGGTGCTCACAGTGAGCAGAGCCATCGGGGTACCCGGCCAGGGTCAACAGAGGCCGAGAGGGTCCTGGACAGTGGCAGAGGGCAAGCCCTGGGGGGTGGGGGCTTGGGCTGTGCCTACATGGCGAGGGGACGGCAGGCTTGTCCTGGACGCAGTGGGCACTGAGGCGACACCAGCACGTTGCATGCCAACCGTCTCGGCTTGCAGGCTCTGTCTTCCTCTTCAGCAGGTGTGCCAGGCCCCGCAGGGCAGGAAGTGTGTCCTCATGACAGGGCGACAAGAGGGACGTGTCCAAGGCCAGCAAGGCGGCACAGCCAGAGGCCAGCAGGGAGGGCGGACTGGGCAGTGAGGTGGGCCCCTGGGTGTGACAAGGACCCCAGTTCTCCTGTGGGTTGGGCAGGCAGAGTCCCGGGCTGGGAGCAGGAGCGAGCAGGGCTGGGGGGAGCTGGCCAGGCCAGGCACCGCTGTCCGAGACCGCCCTCCCAGCTCCAGCTGGTGTTGCTGCTGTCTGTCCAGTACTGAGACTGAGCCCAGGGTCTCCATGCTGAAATGGGTCCCCAGCTTTTATTTACACTTAGACAGGGTCTCGGTAATCTCTACCCTGGCCCAGGCTGCACTCCTCAAACCTGTGACCCTCCCGCCTCAGCCCCCCGGTACTGGGACGGCTGGACTGTTCTACCCAATGATCTCATCATGAATAGCCCCGAGTACTTTGGACCCACAGTTTCAGTTACAGGAAAATCACTTTCGACCCAGCGATCACTACCAGAAGGGACACAGAACAAGCCTCCACCGCCTGCCTGCACAAGGCAGCCTGGGAACGAGTGAGCTGGGAGTTAACGGCCTCCGCCCCGCCCGCCCGAAGGACCAGAGCCTGGGAACTGCAGCCTGAGGGCCGGAGCGCAAGCCCACCTCAGCTGGCTGTAAAAGGCTTTCCTTCAGCGCTGACCTGCGGGAGTGCACACAGGCAGCCAGCCACTGCTCCGCCACACCCTCCTGCCCTGCAGAACCGCAGTGGCTCCTGCGGCAGCAAACAGCAGCATCAGCCTGAAGCCAAAGCGTGTGGCGCCCTCTAGTGCCCTGCAGGACACCAGGGACACTGCAAGAGCCGAGACAAGGAGAAGGCCCGCAGGCGGGCGGCTGGGTGGCTGGGCAGCTGGGCGGCGGAGCTGCCCAGGCCTCCTCTCGGCCTCGCACCCTGTGGAAGCCGCTCTGGTGCGGAGGACGCCTCACACTGAGCACAGTGGAGACACTGGCAACCTGGGCTGACCCTGATGGAGCCACAGGAAGCCCCCTTCACCACCGGCACTCGCCTGACTCTCGCTCAGGACCAGGGACTCCAGGGTCCCGCCTTCCCCAAGGAACTAGAGTGTCACACCCAGTGCGGTGCACACAGGGCGGAGAGAAGGGCTGCGCTGCCCCGCCCTGAGGGGACCGGACCAACGGAGGCAACCAGGGCACACTCAAAACAAAAGGGAGATAAACAGACACAGGTGTGCAAATGCGGTGTGGCCTCCTGAGTGTGAGGAGCCGAGAGTGAGTAAGACCTGAGACAGACAGAAACGGTTTAAAGGAAAGACACTGCAGGGAAGGAGAAAGAAGGGGAAGCGCGCACGCACACACACACACACACACACACACACACACACACACACGGTAGTGAAGACACGCTGGTACAGCTCCTGCCTGGCAACCTCCAGGTCCTGAGCTCCATTTCTGATACCAAAAAAAAAAAAAAAAAAAAAAAAACTCGTTCCTAATATTGTTTGGACAACTAAATGCCTGCATCTTACACTCTGTGTAACTAATTTAAAAATGACATGCAATTGTCATTATGTCCATAAAACCATTATTACTCTCCCATTATCTAGTTCTGAAATTTTATTTTTCTTTCCCTTAAAAAAAAAAAAGAAACTGGGCATGGTGGCGCTGCCTGTCATCCCAGCACTCGGGAGGCTGAGGCAGGAGGATTGCTATGAGTTTGAGATCAGCCTGGGCTACAAAGTGAGCTCAAGGCCAGCATGGACTGCATAGTGAGACCCTGTCTCAAAAAAAAAAAAAAAAAAAAAAAAAAAAAGACCAGACTAAGAGCAATCTCCCCCCACAGACCCTTAGGGGCTCTAGCCCGGCCTCCACACTGGCAGGCACCGTCTCCGTCTGCCTTCACTAGCAGAAACTTTCTTGGCTAGGAAGTTGCTTAAAAATAAGACCCTCAGTGGTGAGGCTGGCCGTGCTGGCGCACAGCTGGACTCCCAGCACTCAGGAGGCTGAGGCAGGAGGATCACAAGTTTTGAGTGCAGCCAGGGCAACTGAGACACCGTCTAAAGATGCAGAGCCAGCGATACAGCTCGGTGGGTCCTAAGGCCCGGGAGGCCCTCCCCGAGCTGGACACTCAGGACCCCAACCTGCTGGGGGCACACACAGCACAGTGCTCCCGGCCAAGGAAGTGGGAGCTCCCAGCCTCTCCCGACACGACTCTGCAGACACAGCTTCTCTTCTGCAGGATCAGCTGCTGCCTGCTCCCTCCATTCAAGGCGAGGCCACTCAGGCTCACAGCCGGCAGCGCCTGCAGGGTGTGACACCGAGACACTGCTGCTGGCCTGCTGGCGTGGGCACGTGGCCCACAGCCTACAAGTGACCCTACTCACAGCCCGGACCCCAGGTGGCTCTCCGTGGACAGTGCGGCCCACGCATGCCAACGGGCAGGGCAACAAGGGAGGATGAGGAGGCCTCTGCAAGCCGGGCAGCGGGACCAGGCCCCCGATCCCCGCCGTGAGCTCTGAGCGCTAGGGGCGGGGAGGCGTGCTTCAAGCAGGTGCCTGACAACAGCTCTGACTAAGTGACTGCTGCTGGATTGCCTCCTGCACGCCGATCCCCAAAGCCCCACAGTCTGTTTTGTGACACACTGTCACAGAGGCGTCCCCGTACAGGGCCAGCCCTCAGCTCCTGAGGGCACAGAGATCCTGCCTCTCTCGGAGGCCGGGCAGGAAGGACAGCGGGCTCTGGGCACTCAGCGAGCCCTGTCTTACACCAGGCTTTAAGGGCAGTCAGGGGCACCGTGTAACCCGCACAGAGCCCAGCGCCCGTCCCCAGGGCTGCGGTGGGGAACTGAAGAGGAACGGATTCTACTCTACGGGACCAGAACGTCAGCCCCACCCAGTCTCGGCCTGCGGCGCACTGGCCACCCACCCCAGCACCGCTGAGCCCGTGGCCACCGGCTCCCATCTGGAGCCTGAACCCGACAGGCGCGGTGACCCTGGGCAGGAGCCCACGGAGGACGGAGGCCCCGGGCGGGGTCCACCCCTGTCCTCCTGGGCACCGCCCCTCCTGCCACAGCCATTCACTGCAGAGCCCCAGAGCGGCTGCCAACCTCAGCACGAGCTGGCGCAGAACGAGGGCCACCCCCGCGAGACCCACCAAGTCACTCCGGGCCCTCATCTGTGACACGGAAGGCCAGATTCGAGTCTAACCTGCTGTGACACGGAGCACGCAGACCCCGAGCGACTTCATACCTGTTCACCCCAGGACTTTGAGGCATGACCGCTGCCCGGGACACAGCACGAGGGCTGTGACCCTGGAAACCTGCGCAGGCGAAGACCAGGCTTGCGCGTGTGTGTAGGCACGCAGGGTTATCTCACTGCCACTGTCCTGTGCCCGAAACCTCGGCCTCCAGGAGGCTGAGGCAGGAAGGTCTCCTGAAACCAGGGTGCCGAGCTCAGATCACCCCAAACCCACACAGACGCAAGAAGCAGAGTGCCCTGCCTCAGGCTCCCTCTGCCTGAGGTCCCCGGGCAAGGCGGGGGCAGCAAAGCGGCCCAGAGTCCCGCCAACCCAGCCGGGCCGAGGACGGCCCTCAGGTTCTCACCAGGGCCGGGAGAGCCAGCGATGGGGCTGCAGGCTCCTTCCGAGCTTTAGGAAAAGCTGCCCAGGAGCCCCGCTCGTGGAGGAGGGCAAGCGCCCGCGTGCTGTGCACACCACCACACCGAAGGTCAGTCACAGGGCCAGGCGTGGGGCTCACGCCTCCCATCGCAGCCCTCAGAAGCTGAGGCAGGAGGATCCCAACGGCAAGCACGGGGCTGCACAACTGTAATCCCAATCCCTGAGAGGCTGAGGCAGGAGGACTGTTGTGAATTTGGAGGCTGGCCCAAGACATGGCCAGATCCTGTCTCAAAAAACTAAAACAAAACAAAAGCCCAGTCAACCAAACACACACATAGGAAGAGCAGGTCCAGCTGCCCAGGTCTGTAAGTCGAGACTATGTCTCAAAACTCCAAAATCTAAAAATAAAAACAGGGTAGGGATGTCCATTCCCACCACCAGCACGCCACACACAAAAAAAGTGATTGTTTCAGTAGAAGCAGCTGAGACTGCAAAGATGTCAAACCCGCTGCAGTCCACACGGAAAGGTGTTTGAGAGGAAGCGGAATTTCACTCAGCGAACTGCTGCTCAGAGCACGAAGGTCACCCTTAGCTCTGCTCCATCACTTTACACAGGAAGTCCAGAGCAGAGCCCGACAAGGGCAGAACCGGAGCAGACCGCTTTCCTGACCCCACATGACCACAATGAGGGACACTGCCTGGCCTCGGGGGGCAGCACTGGCACCAGGGTGCCACGGAGCTGGGCGCCACGGAACGCCGGCTGGCACAAGGCTGCTGCAGGTGTCTGGAAACTTTCTGTGCGCTGTCACTAGGCCTGAAAAGGTGACCAACTGAGCGGACTCCCGGCCCTGCCAAGTGCGGTGCCGGGCCCAGCCGCGACCCTCCCGCCTCAGCCTCTAGCAGGGGACCTCGGCAGAGCCGCCACACCAGCCTTCCAGTCCTTCGGCGCTGACGTGCACAGCCCACGACGGGCCGGCCCGAGCCACATTCCCAGCCGGGAACAAGTTCCTGTCTTATTTTAAACAGAACTTTTCCCAGGGATGTAACTGTTCCTTTGCAGAGTAACTGTTAGCAATAAAAGTACAGAACAATGTTCTCCTGATGAAACTTACAAGGCGTGGCTGTACAGAATTCCATCAGGAAGTTCTCCATTTAGGTTAGACAAAACCCAACACGTTAATCTGTCTGTGGATGTGCATACCATCTTATCCTGACTACAACAATGGGCCCTTACAATGATAGATTTTAAAACATTTTACACACATTAAGGAAACCACTTGGCTTTTAAAAATACGTCTGTGAGCCAGGCATGGTGGCACCTGTCCCTAACGCCAGCTCTCAGGAGGCTGAGCAGGAGCACCGCCTGGAGCCTGGCTACGTAAGCAAGTTCAAGCCAGCCTGAACTACACCGAGATCCCGTCCCAGGAGGAGGGGAAACCACCCGTGTGCGTAACTCAGAATAACCAGGGCTGCCGTCATCTCCTCATCAAGACTCCAGAAAGCCAAGATTCAGGCAAGGCACGCTGTGCAAGGGATACTTCAGACAAGCAGCGTGCGTCAGCCGACCAACGCCGGAAGACAACACTGGATTGCTGGTGACACTGCCCGCTCACGGCCGGCTGCCAGCAGGACGCCTCATAGCTGCGACCGCGCCTTCCTCCTAGCAAGGCGCCAACTTGAGGCTGAACCTTTGTCATCTCCTCTTCCTGTCACGAGCTGGCCTTGGCGTCCTACACACTCAACAGCCGTCCATGCAGCCCAGAAGCTGGTAGGAAGGGAAAGCCCGCGTGACTCACAGAGGTTCTTACAGCCTAAGAAAGGAAAGGGCACGGTACGAAGCGCATGCACATGGCCCCCGGCGCCAAAGGTGTGTGCAGCAGCGGTGACAAGGGACAGGTTCGCCATATAAGCAGGGGCACGGGAGCAGCACAGGAACAGAAGCTAAGAAAGAGACGGATTCATGAACAGCGCGGGCTCGCGAGGAAGAGCCTTCCTCTTCCGCCTTAGTGTGAGGGCGACACCCCTCCTCCCGATCGGCTGCCACACCGACGGTGCCGGGCTCTGAGACGGGGCTGCCCGGCGTCCCGCCTGGGTGCCTGCTCCACTGTACCTGCGATCTGCATGGCTACGGGGTCCTCTGACACCGGAACCAGCCCTTCTTTGACTTCAACCTGCTTCTCAGAGCCCAGGGGAGACAGGGCAGGCGGGGAGCACTTAACCTCCACGTACGCCACGGCTGAGGAAGGGGCGGGCTTGGCGTCGTGAAAGAGGCTGGCCCAGGACTTGGCGGGCTGACCCGCGGGCAGGGGCGCCGCGAGGCTGCTGGCGGGGTCGGGGTCCAAGCTCTCGCTCTCGGCGGCCTGGGGCTCCCCGTTGGCAGCCGGGCCCACGCCCGAGGGTTCAAGCCCCTGTCCGTTGGGGACACCGCAGTGCTCAGTAGTATGCGCGGCATGGGGCGGGGCGGCAGCTGTCCTGGGCGGGTGCTCTGCGGGCGGGCAGAGCTGCTCGGGGCCCGGCCCCTGCCCCACAGTCCTGCTGGCCCCATCCAGGGTGCCCGCGAAGGGACTGTCGGGCACAGTGTCACTGATGCAGTCCGAGGGGTTCTGAGGGCTGCCACAAGTCCTGGGTGAAACCGGTGGGAGCACGTCACCCCCAAACTCCGTGTCCTCAGCGCCTGCCCCGCCAGGGCCCGCCGCACCAGCGTGGCCATTGACCAGGGCCTCCGAGGGGACACCCTCGTCCGCGCCGTCCTTCAGGTAGCTGTAGTAGCCCGGCGGCCGCTTCTTCTTCCTCTTCCGCTCCCTCTGCCCCAAGGCGCCCGGGCCACCGGGGTGCTCCAGAGCCTCCGCCTCGGCCTCAGCCTCGGCCTCTGCGGGCGGGCTGCTGGCCAGGGCCGGGCCGGGTTGCTCCAGACAGTGGGGGGTGGCCTCCTGGCCTGGCCCCTGGGGGCTCTTCTTGGAGGCTGTGCAGCCGAGGATAAACTCAGGGGCCTGGGGGTTCAGGGTGCTCGAAATACTGCAGCCGGGGGCGCTGGGCAGACCGTCGCTGGGCTCCACCTCGTCGGTGCCACCAAACTCGATTCTCTGGTACGCCGGCCCTGTCCCGGAAGAACACGGTTAGTAAGCACCGCGGCACTGCACACCCCCACGACCAAAGCACGCTCAGGACCCCTCCCGTCTGAGACTGCGGGCCTAGGTTAAAAGGTTACAGCTCCTTTTTATGCTGAATCATTTGCTGAAAACAAGCATCTATAAAATTCTGTTAGGAGTGTGAAGGACAGAAGCCTGCCTTTCTCTTACATTCTCTGGGAAACTATGAGATGCTCAGAAGACAAACAGAAGCAGTCTGTCACCGCACCGACCTGTCCTGGCTTTGGGGAGGCGGGGAGCAGCACAGGGTGCCCCAAAAACGCTCGCTTCACCCCAATGGCTTCTTGCAGTCTTGCAATAGGGACGGGCACTTTGGAAGGCCACGCTTCCGAGAGATCATGACAGGGCCACAGAGGCCTGCTGGATGCTTCACCACTAGTGCAGCCAAGCGCTGTGGGAGCAGACGCCCCGGACTCCTGCACGGTCAGGGCCACCCAGGCCTCCCTAAGCAAGGCCGGCAGCAGCTTGTGCAGCGCAGGCGGGGACAGTGCTAAGGAAGGCACGTGGTGAGGTGCCTGCCCAAACACCAGAGGACGAACGTGGACGCTAAACTTCTGCAGAGTTCCTGCTGCGCAACAAAACCCACGTATTTCACTCGTGCTGGCCCACACCTTTCTGTTTCCGTCCCGTCTCCTATCAGGCCCAGAGGTGCTGTCTAACAGACCTGCAGCGAGGCTGCACGGGTACCGCCACTGAGGGGACAGGCGCCTTGGGAGTCACTGCCTTCAGGTGTGGTATAAGGACCCGATCGTTTTCAGGCAAATATTGCAATTAAAAATCATAATGCTAAAGAATGGGCTTCTAAAGGCTGGGCATAGTGGCTCACGCCTGTAATCCCAGCACTCGGGAGGCCGAGGCAGGAGGATCACTGAGTTCAAAACCAGCCTGGGCCACACGGCCACAGAAAGAAAAAAAGAACGGCCTTCTACTGTAGAGAACTTAACACGCTGTCCCCTGAAAAGGCCTGCAGAAGGCTTTTGGGGGCTGGTCAGTGGCACCGCAGGAGGACAGGCCCTAAGCTCGCTCTCACAAGGTGAGCCCTTATTCATCTGGGCCTCACAGCCGGGGCAAGGGCTCGATTCTGTCACAAGAGGACAGATCACAGTTACACACAGGCGGCCACAAGGACACTGGTTCCTGTGGCCACCATTCCTGGTTTCCTTACTCGGAAAAGAGTCACTGAAGGCCAGCCGCCTTGTTACCAGAGACATTGCTCTCGGTGGCCTGTTCAGACTGCTCAGACTTCACGTTTCTCCTTAAGGTTCTGTGCGTCTGTCTTCACTGATGGTAGATGGTAGGCACATGTGTCCATGTGGCACTGTCCTTTTGAGGGTGGCCCTGCACCACACACTCCGCGTTTTAGGGTACAGCACTGGATGAAGGGTCCTGCAAATCCCGGTTCTCGAGCCGGAGCTCCCCTGGACCATTTCTTATCCTGAACTCGGCAATGCACAGATCACACACCAGGCCTCGGTTCCTGATGCCCGTTATGAGTGAGCCTGGTCCCTAAGAGGAGGCCTGCCTGCTCTGGGCACACCTAGCCCCTGGTGAGAGCTGCACACCACCTGGGCTGAAAGGGGGGTCCCTGGGAAGTCACACAAGACTGAGCTCCCAGTACGCTGTGTAACCCGGGTGATCTCCACAGACACAGGGCTGCCAGTCTCTATTCTCTATCTCATCAGAGCATAAATGTTTAGAAACATTAAGGGAAGTGACATTAATGGACTTTCTCACTTGTCGTGGTCACTTGTGAGGCACACACCGCCACAGTGGGCACACTGCAGACAAGCAGACCCCACCAGCGTGGGCCCTGCCTCACTGGAGACAGCCCCTGCAGGCTGGGGACCCCAGCCCGATCGGGAGGCCAGGGCGCAGAGGGAGCCTACTAACATGGCTGTTTCTGGTTGCAGCGTTGTTGTTTTGAGACAGCCTCACTGTGTGGTCCAGCATCCTGGCCTTGCATCTGCAGCTGTCCTCCTGCCTCAGCCTCCCAAGTGCTGGGATTATAGGTGTGAGCCACCACACTGGGCCGACAGCTTCAGCGCAGTGAGTCTCTGGGAAGACGGGAGAGCCACGCTCCTATGCTGTAGCAGTAGGTTTGTGAGGAGGAGGAGCTGGGCTAAGGGCAGCATTCCTCAAAGGGTGCCAGCTGCCAGGTGCCAGCGGGGTGCTGAGGCTGGGGAGGTAAACTCTCTGCTTGGGTAGCTGATTTTTACTAAGTGACGAAGGATGATGCAAAAGGAGGGCAAGATAAAGCCACGAACATCTTTTTGAAACCAAGGCTTCTGGACACCGGCAAAGGTGACCGGTTCCAATCAGAAGCCAGACATCTGTGCGACCGGAGAGGCAGCTGGCCGGGGCGGGGTGAGAACAACACTCAGAGCTGTCTGGAAAAGGCAGAGGTATAAAAGGGGGTCCACGTGAGCCCCCCTCGCAACGGCCTGCGGAAGCTGGCGCTGTGTGATGGAGCACACGGCACAGCCGACGCAGCCCAGAACCCGAGGCTGCTGCGTGCAGTGGGAGGGGGCAGACGGGACAGGCAGGGCCGCGAGAGACAAAGCAGAAGCACGGGGGCGAGCCACACCAGGGACCTGTCACTGCGCACGCAAGCGGGCAGCACGGTCCCAGCTGTGCCCAGCAGAGTAAAAGATGGACTAAGGCAGACGAGAACAGAACAGAGGAGAAGAGCCAAGAAGCAGCGACTGTAAAGGAAGCACAGCCCGGCAGAGGGAGGGACGAGGGTGGGGACTCAGGAGCCAGGACCAGGGATGGACACGGGAGCGCCAGGTGAAGGTGCAGCGGGCCTCCTGCGTGCACAGACACGGGAGCAGCCGAGGGCAGCTGTGCAGGTGTAGGCGGGGTCCCACGCCAGGGGGCGAGGCGGAGGGGGCCAGGCCGCTGGCTGCAGGACCCTAGAGCTTCACCTGCAGCATCGGGCATCCTGAAAGCCTGTGAAATCTGTCCCGTTCTGCATGGTCTCCTGTATTACAGCTTCTTATAAAACTCACATTACTGTGCAAAACAGGCTTGGCGAATCTCTCTATGCTCATACCTAAACATGAGCTGTAAATAAACCCTCTATGCCAGGCTTCCTAAGAAAACACTTTCCTCCAGCTGCTGTACCCACAAGGGTCTTTCCTGGGCACCGCCCTGCCAGGGCCTCCAGTGCTGGGGCTGACGGCACTGTGACTGCCGGGTTGGCACTAGTCCAGCAACCCAGCGGCCCCGGGGGTGAGGGCAGCATCTGAATGCCCAGGAGGCCTGCAACCACAGGATGGGAGTGCATGCCATGAGAGGGAGCCCTCTGAGCAGCTCAGCCAGCAGGAGCACAGCGCTCCAGCCGGCCACCCTGGGCCTGGCACCACAGCAGCAGCAAGTGACACACTGTGGCACTGAGAACTGCCGAGGAAAAAGAGCCTGCTGCATCTCAATGCTTGGCACTTTGAGGAACAAAGCAAAACCCAACAGTCAGAGCCCTCAGGGTTATACACTGCAGTTCCCCAGGAGCATCCCTTGCTGCAGGAGCTGCTGCGTTCACAGTGCGCACCAAGAGCGGCATCTGCTGGCAGCCTGGCCGGCCGGCACGCACACTGACACCCCAGGAGGGGAGGGCAGGGAGGAGAGCTTACCATCGGGCAGTTCGTCCACAGCCTGGTTGCCACACAGCGCTGTCCCACTGTACGGAGGGAGCTGCACGGGAATTGGAAAACAGGTCTCAATCCACGGAACACAGTAGCATGCACTCCTGCATCTACACCACACATCGGGCTCTACTCCGGCGCCCCCTTCTCGGGACACCCCGTTACCAGAACGGCACACGGCCGAAATCAGGAAGCTGCGTTACCTTCGAGTTCCCTGAAGGGGAAAATCACTGGGGAGTGCTCTGAACATTCACCACTGTCACACACGTTCAAACACGAGGCAAAGGAACACCAGATGAGCTCTGGGGTGCATGAACCAGCTGCGCCGCGCTGTTCTGAGGCAGCCTGCTTCCCTCTGCACGGCCTGTTCCAGAGCAGGGCTAACAGTGGCCCCAGGGCAGGGGCCTGGGAGCTGCGATGCCCTGCCCCAGCTGTGCCCTCAGGAGGTAACGGGCTGAACACCACCGCCTGGCTTCCTTGTTAAAGCAGGGCGTCCTGTGACATTCTCCAACACTCCTCCTCTGAGCATATTCACTTTCCAAGAGCTGGGAATGCCTACAGGACGGGTTTGGGGTGAGCAAGTGCAGTGGCCCAGGTGACATCCAGCTGAGCCGTCCTGAAGCACAACGAGACCCTACAGCCTAGAAATCACCCTAACACCAAGATTCCCTCTCCTAACAGGAAAAAAACCCAGACCCCCCCCTCAACTGAGAACGGGGCATCTGGGATAAATACACGCTTCTCAGATGGAGAGGTACAAAGAGCAAAGGAATATGTGTCAAAAATGTTCAGCGTCACCAGTCTCTCGAGAGACACAAGTTAAAATGGCACTGAGATTCCAACTCACCCAGAAAGAATGGCCATTATCAAGACACCACCCAGTAACAAACGCTGAGGGGCTGTGGGGAGGAAGACCCCCTCCCCTGTAGGTGGAGTGCAGACTGGTGCAGCCACTGTGGACATCAGGGTGGAGAACCCTTGGAGCGCTAGGACCAGAGGCCCCGTCGACCCAGCCCCCCCTGCTGCGCGTCCTCCCGGAAGAGCCGAGAGCATCGGCCCCACTGACGCCGTGCGCCAGACTGGACTGCGGCTCGGGCTGTAAGAGCGGAATCCGGAAACAGCCCAGATGTCCATCAACTGAGGAGTGGACAAAAAAGATGCAGGTCTTTAAACAATGGAGGACTACCCAACCGTAGAGACACGTGTAGCTACGTAGACCACACTCTGTAAGTGAAATAAATCATACACGTATGTAAATACTGCACCACCTCCCTGGCGCGAGAAACTGAACGTGTGTATAAGGACCAACGTGTGTAACAGAAACAGGAAGGCGCTGTTCCAAGGAAAGGGGAAGGCGGGGAGGAAGGGAGAAGGAAGGAGGAGAGGAGAGGAGAGGGACAGGATGGGGAGGCTCCGCAGTGAGGCTGGGGAGAGGGATGGGGGAGGAGGGCGGGGCCAGCAGAGCGCGCGGGCGCAGACGCCCTACCTCGGTGTGGCTGCTCGCACCCTCCTGCATGAACACCAAGACCACCGCCATCTGGGTTCCGTGGCCCGCTCGGCGGAACAAGCAGGTGGACATACTTCCTCGCTCTGTCCCGCTTGGGGCAGGGAGGACAGGAGAGCCTCTGGGCCTGGGAGCAGCAGGGGGACAGACAGACAGACACAGCCTGCTGGCGGACTTAGCGCCGTGCAGGTGAACGTGGGTCTTCCCTGCGGCATGCAGTGAACGCAAAGCCGTATGGTACGGGCTTTACAGCAGTGCTTAGAAGCCACCAGGTGGCGCTGGGGATTGAGCTCGGTGGCATAAGCACCTGCCTTGCAAGTGTATGGTCATGAGTTCGATCCCTGGTACCGGTAAAAAAGAAAAGGACAAAAAAAAGAAGCCACCAGGTAATGTTAGAGGATCCTGAGGACCGAGCAATCCTGATGGAATCCTAGTGACGCAACGAGAGGGACAGAGGCAGGACGGCAGCACTCTCCCAGGCTCCACAGCAAGACCAGACTCAGACAAGGCCTGGACCTTGCACCTCCGAACTGTGCGCTCAAATCAGTCTCTGCTCTTTAAACTTAACCCACCGTGGGCATTTCGTTACAGTGCAGTGGAGACCAGACCAGCAGACAACACTGACCGGAAACACGGTCTGAGCCATGGCTGCTACTCCCGCTGTGTCACGTGCAGCGCCTCCGGGAAGAGGGGTCCTGCTTCCACGGACCCCAGACAGGAGGCCAGCGTTCAGACGACCATGGCGTCTCCAAGTGGCTTTCTGGCACTGCTGCTGTTCCACCCTGCACTGAAAGGCCCCCACAAACCAGGACCCCGACTTTGCTTTCGTTGTTTTAGGCAGGGTCTTGTCTGCTCCAGGCTGGCCGTGGACTGTGCACCTAAGCGACGTCCTATGTTGGAAATCACTCTGGGACACCAGACTGAGAACTGCAGCCTTAACTGCACACTGACCCCTCAATACAGACGCGCGTGGCCTGCTCATCACAAGGACACTCACAGGCTGACAACTGGGGCGACCCGTAGCACCAGCTGAACCGGGCCAGCGCGCTGCCAGGAGCTGAGGGCACACTGGGGACTGCTGCCAGCACAAAGGGAGCCCTGGGAGGAAGCAGCGCGCTTGCCGGCTCTCCTGTTGCCACTGGCTCTCCTGCAGGAGCTCACTGAGCTTCTGTCCTGCTATGAACTTGGCTGTTGTCCCTGTCAGAGGAGCTTGGGGCCTTGTTGTCACGGACAGTGGCTGCGGTTCGCTTTGGGGGAGCTCCGGTCCTGACTCTGAGTGCTGTTTCCCAGCTCCGAAGGGGAAAATGTGTGCTGTTCAATCTCCAGGAGAAGCTCGTCACCTGGCTTCCTGCTATGAACCCACTGCTGTGGTCCTGGGAGGGGCGCAGGCCCTCACTGTCCCGGGATGGCCACGCTACTTTTCAGGGGAGCTCGGGTTCTTACCTGAGCATCGCTTCCTGGCTCCAGTGCAGAACAGTGGCCCACTGGCACAGCTGCTTCACCCTGCTGGCAGACCTTTCTGGCTTCCACTACTGACCTCTGGGCCTCCCAGATCCGTGAAACCGACTTGCATGAGTCTTTGTCATGGGCTCTAGGCCTCCAGCTGGACTCATACAGGATGTCGCTGTGGGATTAGGGCCCTCTGCTGCATTCTCTGGGTCTTAGTATGTGGAGATTTCCTGCACTTTTCTTGGTATTTGACTCTTAGGGTGACTATACAAAATAATTCTATAAACTATGTACTAAATGCACTCTAAATGTAGGAAGTCCTGGCTGTATTCTATATGCCTGTGTTAGACTGTGTTCCTTGCAAACCCCGACTACAACAGGCTGTGCGTGCTACCTCCCCTCCACTTACTGATTCATTCAGAAAGGCTTGAGGCATGTGTGCTGCCTCCTGGATTGAGACTCTGGGTATTTTCAGCAATAATGAATACTTTCTCCCTGACTTGAAGCATCAATGGCATTACTATTGGTCAAGGGCCCACATGCTTATTAATAAGGTGAATGCATCTTTTTCCATTGGAGAAATTCATTTTTACATCATCCTGGCTTACAAACTGTGCTAAAAAAAAAAAAAAAAAGTACCAGTTACCTTTAAAAATTAACACTAGGGCCCATGTACCTCTGTGGAACAGTGTCTGCCTGGCAAGCATGAAGCCCTGAGTTCGATTCCTGGTCCCCCGAAAATTAATACTAATATTTAAGAATGTATACACAAATTGCCTAATTTTGTTTCTCTTAATTCTGTAATACTCCTGGCCAGCCGACTTCGCCAGGGGCAAGCTTTCTAGCACACAAACTAAAAGACAAAAAGCTCTCGGGTGCCAGGAGCAGGTTTCTGCAAGAAGGCAGAACGCTTTTACATTCTAACATCCTGCATTTCTTAACTCTGGGTGAACAGTTCTCGGCTCCGCAGAAGAGAAATGCTTTACCAAATTCCCAATGGCAAAAAAAGCCCGCTAAGAATCGGGCTGGTCAGCGATGCGAGCTTGGCAGAGCGTTCAAAGACACAGACAGCCCGCTGCGGAGCACTGCAGGCTCCATGCTTGTCACGTCTGAGGCAGAGAGGAGCTGCGAGGCCTCGAAAAAGACCAGGGATGCACAGCTCCACCCCAGCCAGGAACCCCTGGGAAACATACACCCCAAGGAGAGTCCCAAATCACAATGTGGGGAGAACTCAATCCAGTAATGCTAGTGTGTGTTTTCCCTTGGTCAGCAGACATTTGCTGTGCCCCTCAAACTTTAATGCTCAAGAACAAGAGAAACAAAATTCAGACAGGCTAAGACGCCTTCCTCTGGCTCTGTGTGCACCCTTCCCCATCCTCACTGTGTACTTTAGGCCAGCCTGGCAATAGACCAGGTTGGCCTCAAAATTGGGGTGACCTTCCTGCCTCAGCTCCCCAAGGGCTGGAATGCAGATCTGCACCATTCTGTCCAGCTACACTAAGATTTCTAAAGGTAGAAATGACTGGTGACCACCACTAGTCCTCCCAATGACACACAGAGTTTAACTACCACGTGCATCACGAGTATCTGCTGCACTGTCATCTGTCACACCCCAGGCATCACACCAGATGTTAGCCGATCGCCCAACTTTTCTGTGAAGTCCACAAGAGTCTCAATTTGGGGGAGGGGTAGGAGAGGAAAGAGGCACGAAGGAAGTCGCCCAGGAACTGGTGACGCGGCAGGCGGGGCCTAGAAACACGTGCATGGCCATGCTCCTGCCAGCTGGCAGCTCTGAACCCTTGGTCAGGGGGGCAGCGTTATCCTGCTGCTCCTGCCCAGTGCGTCACACCTTCCTGTGATTCAGACTCACACTTACAAGCCCAGCTTGACTGCTCCCTGCTTCCTGGCTCAGACTCCCAGATCCCTTAAGACAGCAGTATCAGTAATCACAAGAGGTGGCAGTGACACTGCACTGAATAGCTTCATTTTAGCCCCACACGTGGCATGGCTCGTGGGACTCTGGGCCCGGCTGCGGTCCCACTCCAGGGTGAGGAACCCTGCTCATGTTACCTGGTACAAAAACTCTTTACCCATAAATATTTAATGTACATGCAAATATACACATAGGAGTATTCATCAACTTAAAAGGCTAGGGGTAGGCATCATTAAAGATAAAGAGTATCCCCTGGGTGACAACTAGCAAAGCAAGATGTTTAAAAATTCGAAGGAGAAAATTCTTCAGCGAGAGGCTGGGACAAAGCATGTTTACTGCCACGTTTTTTAGGGTTCCCAGTAGGAAAACAAGGGAATCAAGGCTCATTCAGCAGGTGTGCCGACTAAAGGCAGCGAACAAGGACAAGTGTGTGACAGCACAGGAAGCTGTAACCGCTGAGCTAACCACCAGGCGGTGGCACTGGGGCAAAGGCACGGGACCCTGGGCGCCCCACCCGCTCTGAGGAGCCCAAGGCAGCGAGGGCAGAGCTGACCATCTCCAATCCAGCTGGCGGGTTCAGGGCATTTCTACATCAGTTTCCGTACTGTTCAGTACAAATTCTTCATTAAAAAACAAATGTAGCAAGTTCAATAGCTCAGTAACTACAACTGTATCTCATGTAGTCACAGAAAGTTTTGTCTTACCTCAACTGAAGAGCGGGGCGTCACAAAGAACTGATTGAATTCATCAGGGCTAAAATCTCCAAAAATATACTGAAAAACACAAGAAGAGCCACCCATCACACACAACATACACCACGGCACCCCTCCCAAACGGCAGTCCGCGCGCGCGGCCGGCCGGGCCCTGGGCCCTCCTCCCGCCACCCACCTGCGGCCACTCCACATCACATTGCAAGGGATGCATTTTCCAATTCAGGGCACAAAACAGCTTTTCCGTGAGTCACCAGAGAACACCCTGAAACTCACACAGCTTGTTGGGAGACGCGTCTGTGGTCACAGCAAATCTGTAAGTCCTGGTGCGGGCGGGCAGGGGGCTGCCCTGTGTTCCACCACCCGCCCGTGGCCCTTGGGGCTCCCTCCTTCCGGTCTCCCTGCCCAAGCAGTGCACAGCAGACAGGTGGACGGGAAGGCGGGGAAGCCCAGGATGGAGCGCTCAGGACTCAGATTACAGCTCTTTGGGTGCAGGTGCATCATTTTTGTAAAAAGAAATCACTCGTGGGACCCAACCCAGGCCCCACCAGTGGGCACAACCCCAGCCCTACAGGTGCGCCGTGCTGATTTTGAAAATGCACTTAAACACGACGCACAGACACAGGACACACAGCCCTGACCTCACAGAAACTCCGGGAAAGCTGCCAGGTGGGAGCCAGTAAGTGCCCACCAGTTTAGAGGCCAGCAGCAGGGAAAGCCAGCAAGACCGACAGTCTGTCTGTCCCTCGGAGGAGCAGGGACGGGCAGGGTGCCAAGATGACTCATCCCTCCCACCCCAAGGGCACTCTCGGGCAGGGCAGGAGGCCAAGCAGTGACTGAGCAGGACCCAGTTCCCTCAGGCACACACTGGGAAAGAAGGGAAGGCAGCAGGAGGTGTGCAGTCCAGACCGGCGGTACAGTGTGAACCTAAAACTCCACAGCTCGACAGCAGCATCAATAACCCCGGAGCAACGGGGCAACCTTCGCAAAGTTTAATGAAGAAGGTATTCTGTTCCTAGAGTTCTAGAGCATCTTTTTCCCCAGAGTTTTATTCCGCAGCTACATTATTACTTAAATGCAAAAGAAGGGGGCTGGGGATTTAGCTCAGCGGCATAAGCACCTCCCTTGCAAGCAGGCAGTCGTGAGTTCGATCCCTGGTACGGATAAAAATGAAAAAGAAGACAAAAAAAAAGAAATGCAAAAGAAAAGCACTGCTCTCAGGCAATGGGGATGCGGCTGTGGTCAGCACTGTCCAGCAGGGTGAGGCCAGCACTGTCCAGCAGGGTGAGGCCCTGGAGTCCAGCCCAGCGTCAGGAGGAAAAAGAGGTTCCCTGACACCACACACCCTTCTCTTGGAGAAAAGCAGCCCAGCTTGCAAATCCTAGGAGGGAACCCAAGGGACGCCAGCAAGGTGAGCAGTGAAACAAAATCTAAGAAATCCTGCTGTCACGGCTGTGAAGTTAAACGCTAGCAAGTACCAGAAACACGATGTTTAAAGCTGGCCATCATCTCCCGAATAAGGAACACTATTTCAGTTCCGAATGCAGGGAAACACTCTACGCAGATAGCCAGCTGGGCACAGTGGCTCATACAGTGGCCCTCAGAAGGCTGGACAGGAGGACCGCCACACGTTCACAGCCAGCCTGGGCTGCGCAGGAGGCTCACGGCTAGCCTGGAGTACACAGTGAGGCCCGGTCAGCAAACAGACAAAACAGATCTGCACACCTCCACACACGCGCTTGTCGGCACACGCTGACAACTACAATGTTCTCTATCTAGTTCTTTGTGAAGTATTATTTTAAAAAGTCTGCTACAGATTTTAAGTGTGTTTTTATTACAACTTCACCTTAATAATCTCTAGCGAAAGGCACCTTCAATCTGGTCACAAAACTCACTGGGGCAAAATAAGGGAGCGTTTCCTAGGCAGACAGCAGAAATCAGGGGACAGGCAGGGATCTGCATAAAAGAAGGGTGGTCACAACAAATGTGTGTGTGTGTGTGTGTGTGTGTATAAAGGGACTCTAGACAGGTAAGAAAAAGGTAATATGCCTGTAACCCCAGCTACTCAGAGGCAGAGGGTCAAGTTCAAAGCCAGTGTAAGCAGTTTAGCAAAAGCCCATTATAAAGACTTAAAAATGGGAGATCCCTCAAAAAGGGGGGGGGGGGAGGTGTGAGCCAGTTGTGGTGGCCCACAGCTGGAATCCCAGCACTGGGAGGCTGAGGCAGAAAATCACCGAGTTCAAGACCAACCTGAACTACAGTGTGAGCCCTTGTCTTAAGAACAGAGAAAGGCAGAGGCCGCCGTAGTTCAAGGGCAAGCCTGCCTGCCTCCTGCGTGAGGCCCAGGGTGCAAGCCCGTGCTCCACAGGGAGGAGGCGGCAGCTGAGGTGTGCCCACTTCCCTGTGTGCAGAAGGGCTGAGGGGCATGGACGGGTGGCACAGAAGTGCGTACTGCGACCTCCTTCAGATCTCTCCTGCCTGAACTCTAAAATAGTTACAAAACCGCTACTCAGCACCAGGGACAGAAGTCACTCAGTGCCTTCCTCAAGTTCACCGTCTGCACGGCTGTGCATTTTGCACGCTACTCTAAGTCACGGCTGAGGACACTGGATGACTTGGGGACATTTACAGCACAAAAGGGAGCACAAGCAACTGCTGGCCACCAGCTATGGGCATGGTGGTGCAGTCCTGTAATCCCAGCACTTGGGAGGCTGAGGCAGGTGGATCACTACAAGTTTGAAACCAAGTTCAAGGTAAGCCTGAGCTGCATAGCGAGACCCTGTCTCAAAAAGACAAAAAAGTTCAGGTTTTACCGACTTTGCTAAAAACTTTCTGAATTTACAAACAAAAGTTACTGCAAGGGTTCGAGTACCAGCAATGCAAAACACAACCCTTGTTTTAGGTGCGAGCAGTGTAGCTGGGTGGCAGAACACTTGTCCATCACGGAAGAGGCCCTGGCCCCACCCAGCAGTGCCAAAGAGAAAACATGCAGGTGTTGGGCCGAGTGAGGAACGGGGAGGGCTGCAGACCTGTGCACACGAGGAGCCGTGGAGGAGGCGCAGCCACGGAGCACTGACTCAGGCGCCTGCAGCGCTCCCCACGTGGCTCCGAGCTGCGTGCTGCAGGGCTGCGGGAAGGGCACCACAATGTCGAGCCAAGGCTTCGGAGTTAGCCAGAGGCCCAGGTCGGGTGGGGGTCACGGGGCATGGAGCCTTCACCCTCGAGCCTCAGAAAACGTGTGTGGCAGTGCCCATCAGCTGGCGCCCATGAGAGCTGTGTGCTGCTTTAAGGGAGAATTCAAGGGCTCCGGAAGGGGTGACATCTTCATGGATCCATCGGCAAGGGATACCTGGCGTTTGCTGGGCTATTTTTCTTTCTGTGGCATTTTGCCCCTATGGTATTTCTAAATTTGAAAATTATTTCCAAATAAAGAGAAAGCCATTTTAAAAAAAGAAAAAGCAAACCCTAAAAACTCTGTTCCCCTCTCTCCATGAATAGAAAACATTTGCCTTTCTCTGGAGGGTTAATAAAGTCACATGAGGGTCTGCAGTCTACTAAAACTAAAGACACTGCAGGGCCTGTAACCCAGTAAAGGAGGGAAGGTCACTCATCACAGCTGGTTTAGCCCCACAGCACAAAGATAACCCTAAGACACTGAAGCAGCACTGGAGACCCCAGGGACAGAGCTCACTCCTCCTGGCGTGCCAAAGCCCAGCACGCGGGCCAGGCCACACGCGGCTGCCACAAAGAACCAAAGCGGCCCCCGAGGCCCGGGCAGCGTGCGCTCACCCTGCCGCCGGCCACTGCGCTCCTCCAGCAGCGCCATGGCACACAGTAGACAGGTGTAGGGCTCTCCGGCCCTGAGGGAGCCCGACAGAGCTGCAAGAATTAGGCAAACGGCGGAACATGACTGCACTGGGGGTCAGCGGTAGGGCACAGACTGGTAATCCCAGCACTACAGGAGGCTGGCTCGGCGGGGGTCACGCGCCAACAGCCCGACTGAGCAATTCAGCAAGTGAGCCCCTCCCTCCGTCACAAGCAAACAGCGTAACAGGCCTGGGATGCAGCTGGGTGCACAGGCCCAGAGTTCAATCCCAGTGCAAGAAAGAGAACAAAACAAGACAGAAACCAACATCAAGGGCTCCTTTTCCAGGCCCTGTCCGGCGAGTGTGCTGCAGGGCTAGGCCTGGACACTGCCCTTTGTGCACGTGAGGGTGGCTACTGCCCACATCACTGGGAATGAAGCCGAGCTTCCCCTCCCAGCCTGCCCCCCCCAGGGCTTTCAAACCCCCACTGTCCACATGTTTATTTCCTGATCCTTCTAGAAGGTGCAACAAGGAAATCTGCACAACAGGTGCAGGGGCACACTCCTATAACCCTGGCTACACCGGAGGCTGAGGCAGGAGGATCCTAAGTTTGAGGTCAGCATGGGCTACCCAGAGAGACCTGTCTCAACACTTAAAGAATGGAAAGGGTGGGGGACATAGCTGGATAGAGCACCTTTGGGTGCAGTCCTCAGAGCTACACATGCGCGCGCGCGCGCGCACACACACACACACACACACACACACACACACACACACACGCTGTCTCAGGAAAGACAGCGCAGGCACCCTGCACAGCCAGGATGAAAACCAAAGACACCTGGCTAAGGCACGCACGGCTGCTGCCCAGGCCACTTCTGGCTTGACCATCTGAGGAAACCTAGGTCGTCTCAGCCTTAAAGGGCGCTGGGGAAGGGCTGGGCAAAGCAGCATATACGGGTGACCACACTGAAGGAAAAGCCAGGACGGCGGACTTGGCGAACAATTCTTCAATCTCTGCCCATGGAAGAGGAGGGCAGAGGTTCACCCACACATCTGCGGCTCTCTGCCGCAGACCAGGAGTCACAGGGGAACCGAACACAACTGCTGCAGTGTGGCACGGCATCCAGAGCCCTTACACCGTGGTCTTGGTCTTTTTGAAACAGGGTCTCTTTTATGCAGTTCGGGACGGCTCTGAGCTCCCTTTGTAGCCCAGGCTACATACTTGAACTTGCAATGATCCTCCTGCCTCAGGCTTCT